TTTAATTATAAATTAATTGCTATAGTATTTATAGTATTTTACAATTTTCAAAGGCTGTGTGATTTTCAATGTCTATTATTATGTGTGAAGTTGTTTTCACTGCAACACTGCGTCCAACAAAAGCCATTACTTTTGTCTCGCAAATAAAGTCCGTACAGTGCAGTGAATGGATGCACGAAAGGGGCGTTTATGAAGGTAGGGCTAAAGCGCTGGAAACCTATGGCTCACCGATGAGTTCAGTCGGAAAAGTCACGGAAAAAACATAACGTTAGTTATGAACGCATCTCAAAGTTGTTTACGATTTTTGGGTTCAATTTAAAAGTTTGTCTCAAAATTGCGTTTAAATCCCATTTGACTCGCGATTTGTGTGACAGTTATCGACAGTTATCGCAGTTATCGTCGACTGTATTGTTGTGTGCATTGAGTGACAGACAGACAGTCATTGACCACAAGAATGAGTGAATCACTGGTAGTGGAGAACAACCGTCTGATCCGTGACTTAATGTTCGCGAAGAAAGTCATCAAAAGTCTCGAAAACATCACTACTTTTGCCATTCAGTTGACACAAGAGGTCGACGGCGACTGCAATCCAGTGACGGTTCAGCGGATCCGCACAGACATCGACACACATCTCAAGACTTACCACTCACTCAAAGATAATATCACTCGCGATGTGGAGGACGTGGAGCCCGCGACCAGTGGTAAGCCATCGATGTCTGGATTATCTCATTAATGGTTAACTGTTTTGTGGTTTTATAAACAAAAATAACGACAAATGCGGTGATAATGAAGAAGTGGTGGAGAAGTCACTAATCGATGCCATGAAGACTAAGATGAATGCATTGACAGCCCGTAAGACACCGACCACTACTCGTAAGCCAAAGCCGTGTCACATAACAGGCCTCCCGACGCCCATCACATGCGTTGAGTGCCAAACAGTCTTCACGAGTGGCCACGAGTTTGTCACTCATATTACCGGCGCGAAGATCACCACTAAATCCGGTATTACTTAGAGTTTGTGTTAAAACTCATAAAACCATTCACTTGAATGAATGAAAACAATTTTTAAGATACCAGTGCTCAGTGTGAGAGCGCCTATACTTTTAGACTTTTATACTTTTAATTTGATTATAGTTTTAAAACTTATGATTTGTGTCTATATTTAGTCCACCCGTTGACGACCACTAAAGCGACGAATAAATGTAAATAAAGTGCTCTTCATCTCAATGTTTAGACAATTATCTCAAAACCAAACTCTAATTCTGTAGACAAGTCTTCGGCGAAAGCGACAAAAAGGACTCAAACCAAACCCAATACCATCTTCGAGACCATCGATGGCAATGACATCGCCTCCGAGCACTCATCTGTGGTGCCGATCGTCTGCATACCCGGCGGCTACCGGTGCGGTCACCCGGACTGCGACTACGCGGCCACCACCCGGCGCTTCATTCACATGCACTACACTATCCATCAGACAGGCGCCCGTCCCTTCCAGTGCGGTGTCGACCACTGCGAGCTGTCGTTCCGGACGGAACACATTCTGCGCAGCCATCAGATGGCTGTCCACTCGGGGGACTCGAAAGAGCTGACGGGTCAGCGATGGATAATCTGTCACAGGGATGGCTGCAAATACCGGACCAAATCCCAGGCCAATTGGGTCGCACACAACCGCATGCAACATACCGGTGCGGAACAGGCGGTGAGGTTTACGTGCGATGTATGCCATAAAAGTTATAGTCGACAGCGAGTGCTCGACGAGCACAAGAAGTTGGTGCATACCGGTGCCGATGACCGGGACCTGTTTGCCTGTCATTACTGTTTCCGACGCTATAAAACACAATCGGCACTCAAATCACATGTCATTCAAAAGCATCAAAACCTGTTGTCTATAAGCGTTGACGAGTCTGAAGAGGTTGAGGATCAGCTCATGGATGCTAACGATGAGAGCACAGGTAGCCACGCGATTGACTCACAATTGGATGAGAGCGTAGGTTTAGCACAGGTATCGCACGATTTGAGTGAGGGTTTGGACGCGACTACTGAGCAAATGGATGCGACAATTGATGACAACTCAGGGGACGATCAGTTGGCACCGGGAGGAACGGATGAAACCCTGGATATACCCATATTTACGACCTCCCGGGGCTTTGAGTGCGGATACCCGGCCTGTAACTACTCGTCGAAACTCCGGCGGAATGTCAACTCCCACTTCACGGTCCACCAGACCT